AGAGGTTCTGGGTTCGATCCCAGGCACTTGCGAATAGAGCAGACTCTGTTGGGAGAGATCCCCGCTTTGCGCCTGACCGTACCTCAAGGGATTTAGTCTCCGCAGTCGCGCGGGGATATCCTGGGAAACCAAAAAAATAAAGATTCCAATATGTTCTAATTACTTAAAGCGCCCAAGTAGCTAGGATACAACTCTTAAGAAAAGGGTGAAGTACATCAATAAGTTCCCAGTAAAAAAAACCTACAACAAATGTCTTCTTTTTGTTAAAATTTTGAACAAATAGTCAAATGATGTGAAAGTTACAGAAGAGCAAAACAAATGCTGGAACCAGGACTTCAGTATTTACCCTATTTTACAGCCCTTCTTTCCTACAAGAATCTTGCGTTGACTTAATTTGGGTGTGATAAGATGCTGTTCAATCCGAAGAGAGCCATCTCGCAACTCCTTCCAGTCCATCAACCGATGTTCAATACCGTATGGGATTTCCTAGAATAAGCAGAGATTGTCATTATTTAGGATTCTCAAATTGCTTATTTTGAGACCGTGGAGAGAATCATTGAGCACACAGAAATGATAGCCTCAAAGTACATAAAAAAGTCGCTGAATCTCTACCTGATGGACATGGTCTAACAACCTTTCTCGGACAACTTCTAATGATATATTCTTCATTACTTCCTTAGTCATGATGAATGGATCTTCCTCCCAACATCTTTTGACAGCCTAAACATAAAAACCCACAGAAGAACTGAGATGTGGGATCTAGTACACAGCATAACATTAGCTAGAAAGATAAGCAGATTCATGAAAATAAGTTAGTTTAGGTGCTTTACTCCATCAAGATAAATTTTAAAATACTTTTTCAAACCAAAACTTGAAAACAGAAGGAGGTGCACAAAGATTAGCAATCCAATTATAATTTCAATAAGCAAACCTTATTGGGTTCCCAAAAGACATAATTGCTTCTTACATTGATTAGAAGACCAACTTATTAGTAAAAACAATTAATCTACAATAAAAGAGAGCCCAACCATCATTACTGGGTCCAGGATGGGTTAAATGGAACAAGAACAACCTTATCCTTGTACCCAAAGCTCACTCCCATAAATATAAAATTATATGTTAAAAACTATTTAAAAAAGAAAAAAAACTCAAACTAAAAATTGTAATAGTCTTTCAAATTTCTGACCAGATATTAAGTGAGAGAAAGAGCAGCATTGTAGAATATGACATTTAGCAAACAATACATTTTAAAAAGGCTATTGTAATAGAATTCTTTTTGACGTTCCATTGGAAATTATCGCAATGAAGGCATTACTAAAAAGTACACATGCCTGATCCATTAAGTATTGAGTAAGATCTTTCACTCCACATCCCTTTAGACCCGAAATCATGAAATTCTTACAAGATTAAGGCAATAAACAGATGGTCAGATGTACTCTTAAGAACCATGGGTTCCAAGAAAACAACAAACACCATCTCTCATATTCTACAAGGAAACCTTACCTTTCATACCCAGGAAGATCTTTGAATTGCTCGGCAACCGTTAACAAATCTTTCTTCTTCTCAACCAAATCAATCTTATTCATACATAAAACTCTCTTTTGTATTGGGTGTGCTAATGCTCCCATA